ATTAGTTAGTTTTCTGATTTTTAAATACATCAGTATTAGTGGGCAGTTTTAGTTGGAGACACTGTGGTAGCAAACTTTCTACCCATGCTGTCTTATAAACCCCTTTGTTTTATTAAGAAATAACAAATACTTTTTATAAGGACAAAAGCCACCAAACCTGCTTCATCCAAACTGTAGGCATCTCCCCCTAAGCTGTGAATATGAAAAGGAAACATCCTGGTAAGAGGTTTTTCTCTACCTTCTACTACTGAAATTTCTCAGATCTACTTTCCAGCACCACTTAAACATAGCTTTATATCTTGATATGATCTGGATATCTTGAATCATGAGAAATAAGGCTGAATCCAACACTGGGAAGTGAATTAGTCAGGAGGGATAAAGTTTATTTAGAGGGAAGTGTTACTATAGCTGAGATACATTGTGGTTTGAACTAGCTTTAGAGATGGTACATCAGACTTTTTTGTGCCTGAAGCTTTAGAACTGCCAGAGGACCTGCTTTATGTGGCAGCTCATGTTTCCTTAGGAAGTGTAGCAGTAATTAATAGGACGTAGGTTGAAATAAAGCAGAGGCTAGACCCTGGTGGAGCCCCACTTCACTAGCACTTCCATTTTCAGCAGTAACTGTTGTTTAACTCCACCCAAAGAGTACTTACTGCTCTGTATTCATTCATACTTCATCAATATCAATTTCCCCAGCATATTTGTGAGCATATTATGCCATAAAGTGCCAAGAGATTTATTTAAACTCCAAGAGAAATATGACATTTCTGTTTCTAACCTGTTTCTCAAAGCTTGAAATTAGGTTGTTCTGACAGTTTTACTCCTGAAAAATCTGATCCTTTTTTATGCCTAGTTTCTAGTTGTTTGGTTTGTTTTTCCAGGTCTCTCTTCCACTACTTTCTCCCCATTCTCTATAAAGCAGGTGATGGTCATAGAATAGAATTATAGAATTGTCCTCATTGGAAGGGACCTTGAAAATCATCAAGTTCAACCATAACCTAAATCCCCCAACCGTAACTTGATTTACCTGTTCAGTGCTTAAATCATGTCCCTAAGCACCACATCTGTATTTCTTCTCAACACTCCCAGGGATGGTGACTTCACCACCTCTCTGGGCAGGCTATTCCAGTGTCAAAAGTCCAATGTTGACTGGTTGGAATTAAGGTTGCAGGTAGAGAGGAGATGCTTGTTCATGGGAAGCCTCTGAGCAGGTAAGGGTGGGATGAGTTACCATCTCTATTCTATGCTCTGCTAAAATGGAATTTGTCAGTGATAGTAAGAAGTGCCTTTTAACTGCCTCTGGTTTTTAGAGTGTTTTTACTGCTGCAGGTAGAGAGGAGATGCTTGTTCATGGGAAGCCTCTGAGCAGGTAAGGGTGGGATGAGTTACCATCTCTATTATATGCTCTGCTAAAATGAAATTTGTCAGTGATAGTAAGAAGTGCCGTGTAAAAACACTCTGATTTTTAGAGTGTTTTTACTGTTGCCCGTGAGAAATGGCAATGAAAACCTCTGCTTGTGAGACTGAGGAAACTTGGGTCTTGAATACATGTAGGTTAGCAGAAGCCTCGTGTGTGTTTTGAGGCTGGAAGTTTGGGATTGTTCTCCTTCACCAGGACAGAAACTGTTCTGTCATTGTGGGGGTCACAAGTAGAAAACAACTTTTGCCCAAAGTAACACGGCACGAAAGGGAAGGTGAGCTGTGTGTCTAAAAATGTCACACATGTGAATGTTTTATGGTTTATTATGGGTTTGTCTCTGTTCCTGCTGTGTGGTACAGCTGGGAAACACTGGTCATCTGACTTCTATCCCAGTGAATCCTATAAAAGAGAACACGTGACTCAAATAAATTAATGAAAACTTTGCATTTGTCACAGTCCCTGAGGATTAAAGAAGCAAAACATAAACCTTCCAAAACAAACACAAGCTTTAAAGATTGGGAACCCTCCTTGTGTTATCTTAGATCTTCAAGGCACATATTGACCATCTGGTTAAAATCAGTCTGGTGTGCAGTTTGGATCACTTTCATGCAGTGCTCTCCACCTTCTGAATTCAGAGGGGGACTTTTTGCATTTCAGCATCTTTGGCACAATTGTCAGAGATCCTAAAGCTGCCTTTCCATGTGCTTGCTAGTTTGTTATTCCCTTTTTCCTAGCACAGGCTCTTGTTGCTGATACCTCAGATGTCTTAAGTGGAGCAAGAACAGCCTGGGGTACAGTGGAAGCACAAGGTGCAGAAACAACTCCAAAAGGGGTTAACCTGTTTAGAAGTTAATAAATGTTTTTTGATGGATCAAGTGAATATTTGCTGAATTAAGCTCATCTTTGTGAGTCACTATGAAAATTATTACAGTGTGTTCTCTGTATACAGGAAAAAAGGTATTATATGGTAAACTCAAGGTGTGCTAGAGCTTTATTTTAAGAAGTCTACCCACTATTGAAAAGTAAAATTCCTTAATAACTTCTCTCAGATGATCCCTTCTGGTCATCACACAACAGACATCTGTGGCTTGTTTATTTTCTTCTTTCCACTAAACATATCACATTTATTCCTTCTAACTGTTCATCTTAGGGCAAGTATCTGTGTTCTGCTTTAAAGACCTTGATGATTATTTCCCCCCCCCAAATATATCAGCAAGAATGGAAGCAAGGAAGGTACATGCTGGAGTAGAGTGGGCAGGCAAATGCCATTTTGCATTTTATTGAGTGCTTTGTTGATTATAAAAATACTAAAATAGCAGTTTTCAAATGTTGGTTTTTTTTGAACAAGTATAAATAAAACCTTACACAGCAGACTTAAGGTGCCACAGTGAGAGAGATTCAGTTTACAATTGTGCTTTTCTAAGGAGCAGGCAAGAACTTCACAGAGGGAGCCAGCACTGAAAGTTGCTTTCAATTCTCCTCAATGAAACACTATCTAAAACATTGTAGTTCCTCTTCCTTATGTTTATTACTTATGACCAGGTTTAATGGGCAAGCAAGATAAGACAGAGAGAGAGAAAAAAGTTGGGAGTGTTTTTTCTCTAAGTCATAAATTTGCATACACAAAGACATCCTGTGTCATTTTTCAAGACTTTCATGTAAATGATTATGTTCTGAAGGCTGACAGGAGGATGTGTGTGGTTTACAGTCTTTCCAGATCAATTAGTGAAAGTTGAGAGGACAGAAATGTGAATATTAGCAAAGAATCAGTACCAGTGTGGTAAAGAGAAGAGCCTGATCTTTGCAGCTTAAGACAAACTGTGTAGGGGAGATGGTAGCAAACACTGTAAACCAGATTTTATCCTCTTATCTATCCTAGAAGTATCAAAGAGCTCTGTGTCTAGTCATGGCAAACATGTATACTATTATTAGGGAGTTAATGAAATACTATCTTCTAGGGAAACATGGCTTGTGTTCCTAATGGTACTTTTATAGTCAGGTTTGAATGAGTTTTATACTGTTAATTGTAAAAGTATCCTTTAAATCTAAATCCTGCTCAATTTGGGTAGTGTAATTGTAGATAATGAAATGAATTCCTTTTTATTTGGAGTTTACACTTAGGATAGTGCATAGAGGGTTTTTTTGTAGCATGTGTTCACTTGGAAAGATTTTATTTTCTTGCATGAGGAACTAGTTGGATTTATAGATCTATTAAGCAAGGTGAGCTAGATATATACTGTTCATGGTGATTTTATATTCCTCAACTTGAAGTGACCCAGTGAGTTTGAAAGTAGCATAAAACTTGAAGCTGATGTCTTAATATTTGATCTGCATGTGATGGTGACCTGTTAACCTTTAGCTTTAATGGCTCTATATAATGCTCCTTAAAAGTTGCAAATGTACTCTGCTCTGGGGCTGATTGATGATAAAATACACTTTGCCTAATCACCCCTCTAGAATGTGTGTTGTTTCTAGTAGATATTGATCTCCTGTATTTGTTATCTTACATTTGAGAGAGACTTTGGTTTCTGATGTAATGTGGGTTTTGTGCAGACAATACACTCAGCATCTTGATTAGGAGCTGCAGATCATACAGCTCTTCAAAAGGCAAAAGCCCTTCTCATAGTATAGTTCCCATAAACATGAAGTTTAGATTGTACTAAGATTGCTGGATTGGCCACGATGACCTCAGAACCTCTGCAGGTAAGGAAGAGTTAAAAAACAACCCAAAGAAACTCAGTGTACAAATATTAAAACTGCTTATAGGAACTGCTTCCCTTCAGCAAAGAATCATAGAATATACACATTAAATGATATTATTTAATTCAGACTGTCAAATAGTTTCAGTATATAAGGGACTAAGCTTTTGGTTCTCTACCCTCATGCAGCAGTTCAGACAAGTAAGCTGTACTGCTTTCTCATAAGCTGTATCTAAGTATTTAAAATTGTGAAAAATGCTTTGTTAAATAGGAGAAATAAACATTAGGGATATCATGTTTGCAAGGACTGTAGTGAACTCTGATGCTGTAACTGACTTAAGCCTTTGGTGGGTGTGTTGAAGGGAGAGGAATCACTGGTACCCTCTAAGTGTTCTTCTGGTCTGTTGGTAAACAAACCTGCAAATGTCTCCTGTGTGAGAAGAGATTTGAGCTCTTTCAATCACTAAATAACAATTTAATAGAAAGATAACAGCTCTCTTAAAAGATTATTTGTATTTGGAAAATAACTAACCAAATACATGTGGCTGAACACAGAGGGATAACATGGGACTGGTGTTCTGCTCTGTGCTTCTTCAAACATGCTTCGCTTAGTGAGAGGAATGTTGCAGCACTGTACCAGTCATAAAGCATCTTCTAAAAACCCAAAATACATTAGAAATGTAATTGATTAGCTGAATGTTGACATCAGTTTATCAGGCTGATTGATCGGAGTTGCAAAGCACATCCTGTGAAGGGAGTTCCTGGAAGAAGTGAGCAAGGGAGGGTTTTTAAATCTTTACCTTCTCAGATGGATTTTTGAAGTTTACTGAATAATTTCCCTTTAAATTAGTTTTTCTTTTTTTTTTTTTCTTTCCCATCAGATTTCCTTTATATCCAAAAGGAGGAGAGAAGCTTCAGTTTGAATATGGAGTGTATCTTCTTAACAAGAATATAGCACAGGTTGGTACCCTGAGATCTTCTCTTTTCTTGATACCCACTCTCTGCTTAGTGTCAGTAGGATGTGAGTGTGCATCCACTGTCCTGTGATGCTTTTCTCTGTGGTGAACATCTGTGAACTAGTGGGGGATGTTCTTCAGATCATATTCTTCACTTACCTTGTTTCTTTGTGCTAGAGATTTTCTTCTGTGGTGATTAGAGGAAGGCTCGTCAGCAAATAATGAATCTGTTATATGAGAAAAGGCTGAGAGACCTGGGGCTGGTTAGTCTTGAGAAGAGAAGGCTGAGAGGGGACCTCATTAATGTCTATAAGTATCTGCAGGGTGTCAAGAATGGGCCAGTCTCTGTTCAGTGGTGCCTGTGACAGGATGAGGGGAAATGGCACCAAGTGACGACAAAGGAAGTTCCACCTGAACATGAGGAGAAACTTCTTTCCTGTGAGAGTGACAGAGCCCTGGGACAGGCTGCCCAGAGAGGCTGTGGAGTCTCCTTCTCTGGAGACTTCCAAGACCAATCTGGACACGTTCCTGTGTGAGCTGCCCTGGGTGTTCCTGCTGCAGCAGGGGGGTTGGATGCAGCACCTACTGTTGGAAAAGAATCATAGAATCCCAGAATGCCAGGTTGGAAGGGGCCTCAAGGACCATCTGCTCCAACCTTTCCAGGTACTACTCCAGTTGATAGGAGGTAGCTCAGCACCCTGTCAAGCTGAGACTTCAAACTGCCCAGTGTGGGGGAATCCACCACTTCCCCTGGGAGACTATTCCAATGTTGGACTGTCCTCATGGGGAAACATTTCCCTCTTTTGTCCAATGGGAATCTGCCAAGGATCAACTTGTGCCCATGACCGCTTGTCTTTTCCATGGGACTCCTTGTGCTGAGCCACCTCCTATCAACTGGAGTAGTACCTGGAAAGGTTGGAGCAGATGGTCCTTGAGGTCCCTTCCAGCCTGGCATTCTAGGATTCTATGAAATGCTTCACAGGTCTTGTCCTTTTTTTCCCAGGTTTGTACTTGTAACAGGCTAACATGGTGAATTTTGTGATTCAGTGCAGCCTGCAACCCCAAGCTTCTTCTGCACAGCAGCAAAATAGTCTGTTCTGAATTTGTGTAGGTGACTCATGTAATTCATGTTTTACATGCAGCACCTTAAATGTATCCTTAAAGATGCACCTTTCTGTTCCTAATTGTGTTTCTGATTTGTTGGCATAACTGCAAGTGAGGAAAGGTGGGTTCAGAACTCAGCCTATGCTTTGTGTTGTCTGCATCTAAACCTAAGGGGCTGTAGTAAGTGGACAAGGAGTAATGGATTAAAGCTGGAAGAGGGGAGATTTAGATTAGACAATAGGAAGAAATTCTTTAGTGTGAGGGTGGGGAGACCCTGGCCCAGGTTGCCCAGGGAAGCTGTGGCTGCCCCATCCCTGGCAGTGTTGAAGGGCAGGTTGGATGGGGCTTGGAGCAGCCTGGGCTGGTGGTAGGGTTCTGTGCCCATCTAGTTGGAACTAGATGATCTTGAAGGTCCCTTCCAACTTAAACCATTCTATGACTCCATGAGTCTATTAATTATCAGGTCATGAGTTTCAAATGTTGACTAGAACTGTGGTGTAAAGCCTAGACCTTGGTGGAGCCCCACTTCACTAGCACTTCCATTTTCAGCAGTAACTGTTGTTTAACTCCACCCAAAGAGTACTTACTGCTCTGTATTCATTCATACTTCATCAATATCCCATTTCCCCAGCATATTTGTGAGCATATTACACCATAAAGTGCCAAGAGATTTATTTAAAGTCCAACAGAAATATGACATTTCTGTTTCTAACCTGTTTGTCAAGGCTTGAAGTTAGGTTGTTCTGACAGTTTTACTCTTGAAAAATCTGATCCTTTTTTTATGCCTAGTTTCTAGTTGTTTGGTTTGTTTTTCCAGGTCTCTCTTCTACTGCTTTCTCCCTATTCCCTCTCCCAAATTGAAGTGAAGCTTCTGGGTCTTTCTGTGTTGTTTGTTTTTTAAGCTTGAATTGCATTAACCATTTTCCAGACTTCTGGTATCTTGCCCATGCTTAGTGTATTTTGGAAGATAACTCCAATGGCTCTGAAATTACTTAAAGGCTAAAATATCTTAAGATGAAGTTAATCAAGTCCTGCTAATCTTGGAAATTCACTTAACCAAGCTGTTAATAGAACATAGACTGAGACTCTTTGTTGCTGGTATTAATAATGGCAGCCAGCTGTTCACACTTGACTTTCATAGGGAAGACTAGTGAGAAAAAGGGATTAAATATTCTTTTCTTCAACTGCTTTGATAGCTTTCTCTCTCCATTACTATCAAATCAATGCTTTCCTTAATCTCTGCTTATGTAAATATATTAGCTCATTCAGTAACTTGTGAGTGGTGATGCTGCTTGTTTTGCTTTTCAGCCTTTCATGTTTTTGTTCCTATTCTGAGTTTGCTGTTCAGTTCTGTGGTGCAAGCCCTCTGTGCTTCTTAGTTGAGATAATAAACTCTTCATTGAGCCCAAGTGGGTAGTTTTTCCAGTTCTTGTAGTCTGGGTTAGTTGGCACTTGTACCTCTAGTATTTTTTTACAGAAACTGTCACCACTTCACTTGTTTTCCTGTTTCTCTCTTGGACTTGTCATCTCTGAGTTGTTGGACCTACTGAAATCTCTCATTCTCATTTTATCCTTGTCTAGTTTCTGAAGGACTATGGACAGTTGAGCACATGGTCACTCAACTGTGATGCCTTCCAAGTCCTTGCAATTGATTTCTGAAATCATTGGTATGTGTTTAAACTCATAAAAGTAAATGAAGCCTTTAAGTACGTAGTTGTGTAAAAGAAAGTTTCCAAATTTTCATGGGGTCACTAGTCCTGGTACAAGCTGGAGTAGTTGGTGGCCAGACTTTGAAGTCTGATTTCTTCACCACCAGTGGGTCAGATGTTAATGCTTGAACTTGTATGCTGTTGAGTATAAAAACACAATAAAAGTCAATAAGAATTTTTGAGGGGTATCTACTACTTATTTAATCAGGGAAGTGTTACTGAAGTCCACATCAACTGTTGTGGTCACCTTTGTTTTGATATCCTTGGTCAATTATTGCAGCTTTTTATAGTTCTGCCAAGGGGAAATTCCATGGTGAAAGCAGCACAAAAGCAGAGCAGGTAGATAATATTCAGAGATACAGCACAAAATTGCTGTACTCAGGGGCTGACTTGATCTAAAACCCTGTGTGTGTCCCTTTGTGTGTCCCTTTGGAGGCTGGAACTGTTGAGTTTAAGTAGCTTTTAGAAGATCTTAAGGCTCTTTCAAGAAAAGCTTCCAGATAAGCTTAGTTCATGTCAATGTATGAAAATAAGTTTGGATGGAGAGTGAACAGCTCCCTCTTCCTTGTCTCTAGACCATCACAACCCATGAGGGAATATTTTAAGGCCCAAAGGCATTGACCTTAAGTCAGTGAACCAGTCCTGCAAATTATGCTGTCCTGAATAAATGTGGATTGGTTACTTAATTCCCTTTGGCTGCTGTGGGAAGATTGGAGGTAGCTGGGAGGAACAGTTCTGACCCTCCTGGAGCCTGAAGAGCTTGGGTCTCCATCAACCTAACTTATGTCATTCATGCAGATCATCATCACTGTAGGTGAGAAACAAAGAGCCCAGAAAACACTTGTGTTAGCTTAAAAAAAAAAAAAACCACTTGAAAAGATTTGTATCAACTTCCCTGGTTTCACAGATTTAAATTTGTTCTTCCTTTCACCTGGAAAAGGAACCTGGAGTTCTGGGGAGAGGGAGAAACCTGCACAGGAAAGAAACGAGACTGATATAAAATAAAATGACTGAAATAAAAAAAAAAATCTTCTAGAGATAAAGTGGTACTGTTTTGTAAAACAGCAGGATAATAACAATGAAAACCACATCTTGCACTCTGGAGAATTGAGCTGGAATTAGAAGCAGCTCAGTGCTAGCTTGGTAAAGCATTTATTTGGAGAAACTTGCTTTGCTGTTACATTCCGAAGTCAAAACAATGTGTGTTAATTCCGAGAGATCTTAATAACTTCCATCTGTACGTGAGCACAAATTGTTTCAATCCCCATATTTTCTGTTGGTAAAATTGAATCTCTCACGAAGTTCACAGAGTAGCTTTTTAAGTTGGATAATATTAGGTAAGACCATAAATTTCCAGTGAAGAATTGAGCTCTTTGACTCTAACGAACGTAGAAATGTGATTATTTTTTTTCAAAGGAAAATGAGTGATTTATGTTTAATAATATCAACAACCCAAAAACTCTGTCATTCCAGAGCATCGTCAAAGGTGAAGCACAATCCAATTGCTAAAAATGGCAGTGAATTTTTTCAGCTCTCCAAAGCTTTAGGGACTGGGAGATCATTCAGTAGGTAGCTGGCCCTGCAAACTCTGCCACTACTGTGGAGTATCTGAGGAAAATGAGGCTTTAGTAGGAGAAAATGAAATGAACTGCCTTGGTTTTCACAGTGGAGGAGCTGAGATTACACCGTGAACATCTCGTGATAGTGGATGAATATTAGGAGCTCACTGAAGTGGTGTGAGGTGGTTTTTTTTGTGGATGATAAGCAAACACAACACAGCCAAGCTGCCATCTCTCTCCGTGCTCATCACTGAACAGAAAGTGCATGAGGCACACTGCTCAGCTGGTGCATAGAATCATGGAATGGTTTGGGTTGGAAGGGACCTTAAAAATCATCAGGTTCCAACCCCCCTGCATGGGCAGGGACACCTCCCAGCAGCCCAGGCTGCTCCAAGCCCCATCCAACCTGCCCTTCAACACTGCCAGGGATGGGGCAGCCACAGCTTCTCTGGGCAACCTGTTCCAGTGCCTTCCTACCCTCATGGGGAAGAATTTCTTCTTGATGTCTGACCTCAATCTCCCCTCTTTCAGTTTAAACCCATCACCCCTTGTTCTGTCACTACCCTCTCTGGTAAAAAGCCCCTCCCCAGCTTTTCTAGAGCCCCTTCAGGCACTGGAAGGTGCTCCAAGGT